TTGAAAATAAGTTATTAAGAAAAATATAAGTATTTGAGCTATTAATGAAACCCTGAGAATGAATATTTTGAAAATGCAATCACTTTGGCACCCTTTATTGATGATTTGGCGGTGATATTTACAATTAAACGAAAAATATTTCAAGTATCTAAATAAAGAATTTAGTATTGATAATTAACAATATTTTATTCTCTTTTACGGTGCTTTTATTAAATAATTCATAGTTCTACGTGTGAGTCACCTAATTCGTCTTTAGTGAAGACAGTTGTACTGAACTTTTAAAGGTAATACAAATTAAAGCACAGAACTATTATTTCATCACCATTAACGGTTAATTTTTATTATGTGTTCATGTAAAAAATGCAACTAAAGTGAGTTTGGTTAAAAATACATTTAAATATATGTATTATTATTCCAAATTAACCAAAATAAATAAAAATGGGAATAAAATGTTTATAATATTTTCAAGAAGAAAACATAAGTCTAGAATGTTGCATTATTAAAATAAACCTTAAGAAGTGAAACGGAGAAACGTACTAGACCTAAAAATTCTTTCATCACGTTGCGTGAGCAACAATTAAGATTCTATATTACTTTTTTGTATATACAGATATAGTTATGTTTAAATATATGTTACATATTTCAAACAATTATATACAAACATTCGTTTTTTTTTGTTGTTTATCTATGTTTCGAGCCATTCTTTAGTAGACTGATTTTCCAATAACAGTATTGTTTCCGCAAACTAATTTAAATTTAAAACATGATTTCTTTAAGAAAAATGCACAAAGAACAAGCTAATTTTTAAACATAAACATTTTCTTTTGTTCTAAATATATTAAACAAAAAAAAATTATCAAATTAAACATTTCACGATAAGTTAAGAAAATTAAATACTTAACACAAAAATAACATTCAGCTTAGAAATAATTTTAAATTTGCATAACAATGTAATATCTTAAATTCTCTAATTTCTTATATGGTACTCAATGCGAATTAGAAATAAATTTCGCAATGCTTGTGATTCAAGATATAATTAAATTAGGACTTTTTTTTGTTTTTGTGGGGAATAGAAACTAATTTGCGAGGATACACATTTAATACCTATCACATAAAATTATTTAACAAGGAAAGAACTGCATTATAAGATGATGACTAGTACGCTGTGAAAAATTCCAGATAAAATTACAGTAAAAAGTACCGGAACTCAGGGTGCCTGTACATTATATCGTAAAACTTGTCTGTACAAAAAATATGATACACCGTAATTTTTCCAGTTTAGTTTTTCAGACTGCAAAATCGTAGAATCAAAGTATTTAAATAAATATTACTAAAAAATATTGTAAAAATTGTAAAACCACAGAATCAAAGTAATTAAATAAATATTGCCATAAAAATACTTTAAAAAATTAAATATTAGTGCAAGAAATTCCGTAAAGATGTATTTTCACAGTATTGTAAAATACAATATGGTAAAAATGGCATTTGATAGCACTGGAAAAATGCATTTATGTGTACTGTAAAATCACAGAATCAAGGTAATTAAATAAGTACTACTAGGAAAATTCTGTAATAATTCGGAATTTTTTCAGCATCAAATTTTAGGCAAATATTTCATATACCGTAATTTTTTCAGAAATATTTACTGTAAAATCATTAAATCACGGAGATTAAATAAATTTTACTGTAGAAATTATGGAAAAACTTTTACGTTAAAATGGATAATACGGTAGCTACACTCAGGTTTCCAGTATTTTTTTCCCCATTATCTGATCTGAGATTTTTTACAGTGTAAAGATCATTAAAGATTTTATAAAAATTTCTTCAAAAAATACATAAGACAGCAGACATTCACTATAATAAAATTAATCATATTAGATTTAGTTAACTCAATAGATTTTAGAGTTTTAACAAAAATATTCAGCTAACAACTAATACCTTTTAAAATAAAATGACAGATATTCAATAAAAAAAATTATTGTATTTTTTGACTCAATATCATCTAAAGAATGGCACATGTTAGAATTCGATTTCATTTTTTAAATAGAGAACTAATATAAATTCTAAAAATTTAAACATTGCTTATAATTTTTTTCACAACATTCAAAGTAGAGAATAGTCCATATTCACCTGTCGTCCATGATGCATGCTTTTAACATAAACCATAACTTTCTGAGGTTACTCATCAATAACAATTCAATTTCAATCCGTACGAAATATAGTACATATCTCACTCAGTTACTTGATCATTCACTTTCCATCATACACAGACACAAACTGATATTTGGCGAAGTAAAAAGTGATTGTAAGGAAAATAACTGATATTGGTTAAAATACTGGCATGAGAAAAAAATTTTGAAGACAATTATATCCTAATTATCCAAGCGTGATTAATTGTATTTAGATTAAAAGTAAAACAACGAAATTATGAAAAAGGTGTGAAAGACGTGTTAAAGTAGAAGTGATTCCTCAAAATATCAAAACAAAAACATGAATATTTTGAGTTTTTAATGAGAAATTTTACCAAATTTTACCATACATTATAAAATCATACTTCATTTTTAATTTACGAAAATCATTACCAAAGCACTTCGGTAAAAGTTACCCTGTTTTCGAAGTTCCCATAGAGCCAGAAATAGGGTAAAAATTTTACCATATTCTGACAGTTTTGAACATATATTTCTTTTTCTCAGTTTGCTCACGTTCTATTTTGTTAGCAACTAAGTTCTCGCCATTTTTTATGTTTTTGGCATAATATGTTTTTGCCATAACGTTCATTAGAAATGTTTTCTGAAAATCTATTTTGGTTGATTTGTTTCCTTCAATAACTCTGGATAATTAGGACATATGAAGAAAAAAGTCATAACACAAAAAATAAGCATTCTATTAAACTAATACAAATGCACGACAAGTGATATGTTTCGAGCTTTAATTGGTCCACAGCGGGGCCTTATTGGCGTGACACTCAGCAGTAGGCTTGTGAGCACCTCAATAGAAACGCATACACACATAAACGCGCTTTACATTTTGCATACAATTTATTTAAATCTTCCTTTGCTCTATAAGAACTACCACATTTCCTACAGTTAAGATTGGGTGGTTTTACATCAGGACAATGTGTATATACAAAGGTAAGTAAACAATTGAAAGACAAAACAAATAATCTCATTTTATGTAAAGTGATATCAAATTAATATTTCCTGATTTCAACAACACTGAACTCTACGTAAACAGATAATGACAGCAAATTTTAATTCATTTATATTTCAGTCAATGATGTCATTCACTTTTAAAAGTAGGGATAGCTCATTAAATTTTATCGTTTATTATTTCTTTTTCGTCGTTTCTATCACTTTTTCATGGTTTATATCGTTCTAAGTACTTGCTTTAAACTTTGTTTTGGATTTCTGACAGCATTACTTCATGGTAAAAAGCTGTTTCTTTCAAGAACAAAAGGAACTGATGTAAATATTAAATAAGCCAACAAAGCAAACCTCTTTCATTTAAGCTAAAAGTACTGTGTAATTTTAAACTTTTTGTTTACTATTCGCCTGCTGTTATTGACAAATAAAACCAGATTATCACATGTCGGCAATAATTCGTTAAATTTTTGTATAAAGTTTCTCAACCACAGATAAATGAAAGCTTATCAGACATTGGAAATGATTAAAAAATCTTAACCTGCTTTTCAAGTTTCTGGCGGCATTGATCCACAAATTTAGTCAATTGGCCTCAAGTTTAAAATTATTTGTTGCTCTGAACCTCGCGTATGTGTCTGGTTACAAATAGAGTAATCTTATTTATCTCAAGTTGGAAATGGCTTAAAATTTAAGTCTGACATTATGTTTCGAGTAACATCAGTCCAAGAATGAGGCCAATATATCTCAAGTTGAAAATTTTTTGTAGCTTTAAATCTTGAAATAAATTTCTGATATCAATAAACTTCTGTTGAAGCAAATTTCTCTCCAAATTAAGATGATATTTGTAGATTTAACCCACCTCATCTTCCCGATAGAATTTTCCAAAAAATTAAAAATTATGAAAGAAACATTCTCAACCGGTATGACGATATAGGTAATAGTAAAGGATTAGCCAATATATCATAACAGGATTTTGACACTGTCTATATCTCATACATAAAGATTAGTTTATTTGAGAATCAGTAAGAAAGGCAAGTGTATATTCTTTCGAACAAACAAAAAATTAATGCACTCATCAATAACAGTGGTTTGTATGTACAAAATTATAACTTCTTTATAATTCTATGTTATGAGACATTTTTAATATCTTCAAAACCATTGCATAAATCCTTCGACTTTAAAAAAATTATAGCACTAGACTGCATAAAAGCATATGCAAGTCGACCATTTATCAGAACACTTATTGCTTAAATTTCGGTATTCCGCATGCTCATGCATTTAAACTAAATTTATAAACACTTCTTTTTCTTTACTTTCTGTTCATATTTTAATCTAACCAGGATTGATGCTGTCGCAAACTTTATAGTTTTGAATAATAAAAATCTAAAGTGATAGTGAAACAAGAAAATGACACAAATTTTAGAAATGTGTGCGTAATTTCAATCAATTTGATATACAATATGTCAATTTTTTAAGAATGTTACCCTATAAATTGAAAATTATAAAACAAAATATAATATAATTCGTTTCTCATCCAAAAATGATTTGTAATTTATTACTTCATTGCAATTATTGCTTTTATATAATTACATTCTATAAAGATAACATTGTTCAATTTATATTTAAAAAAATTGGAATAAAAAAAGGTAAGATAAAAAAACAATACTTTCCTTTAGAAAATTTTATCATTTTAAAGCATATTTTTCATGTTGTGCGTAAATTTACCCTATATTTTTAAAACAATTATCTAATTTGAACTTTTTACTTTTCATCTCACAACCTAAACAAAATGGGCTTTTATTTATAAGAAAAAAAATGCATGGTTGCTTTGAGTGAAATTTTTTTAAATATCTGCAAAAATTTTTTACATATTCAGTTGAAATATTTCAATTTACTGATCATAAACAAGGACATAAATTCATATTTTTAATTTGTATTATTGTTCTGTAACATACCCACTCGATATTTTCATTCATTTCTAATGTTTACCATTTTGTTTGAATGTGAATGTCATAATTTGATAGATTAACTTATTCTTTCACATATTTCCTATCTGTATACATCATAATATCAAAAATTAGCTTTTGATACGTATTAAGATATGTTTCGTACTTTTTCTTTCAAGAAATATTTAAAATAATTAAGTTCAGCAAAAAAAATAATAAATTGAATTTCTAAACAAAACTGAACGTTAATTTAATCTACAAACATTTCATGAGGAACCCATCTAAAATCAGCATTACTTAATCCGTGATTCAACTAGCCATAAATGCTAGTAAAATATCCTAGGTGACGTCACTTTAAGCTGAAGTATCATTTCATGGGCACAATCTGTAGCTGTAAATCGCATCGACAGATGGTAGCACCACATGAATTCCTTAACCGTGTAGAATTAGATATGCACATTAATAGGGTCGTTAAGCTGCTATTCAAACAACTCACACAATTTTATATCACTCACTAGAAGTGTTTATTTTGTACAGGAACTGAATAAGTGGCCTAATAGGTCAACCCAACTTTGAAGCGATGGGGAAGAGTCGAACTCATGTCCTATATACATAGTACGACAACGTAGGCACGCAAACGGCGGGAGTGCAGGGAACCAGTGGAAGTGGTGGATCCAAGCACATCTAAAATAAACAAATATTCTATAAATTTGCATATTTCAGTGGGAAAAAATACTATTCAGAGTATTCCATATACTTTAGAATCCTCGTCAAAACAATTTACACCTTATAAATAGAGTTTAAAAAATAAATAAACAAAGGTCCTACCGAATTCTGCCGAAAAACTAGTTAGGAAGGCGGGATTAACAAACTTAAAAACAAATTTGATTACGTGAGGAAACACTATGATGTTACTAATTATTATTTTTCGACTCTTCTGTGATGCCACAATTGGCATTACATATTTATTTCCTATCTTTTAAAATATATTCAATTACTTCAGCTTATTTTTTTAATCGAATTGTATTTAAAATAAATCAAAGACTTAATCTTTTAAAACGAACATAAAATATTTCATTCTTCTGTTATAGATCAATGTAACGGATACTTTTTATTTCATTACTAATGCAGATTATTAAGTCACTGCCGTGCCTAATCGAAAATAAAAATCTATTTACAACTTTTTATTCTAAATTTCTAACCGAAAATATGTTTCAGTTGCATGGCTGTAATATTTCTCATAAATTTGTTGGCGACTCGTGATCGCCAAGGTATTTTTGAACTCTATATTGATAACGCTGGGTCGGCTTTGTTTTGGCTATGTTATATTTTAATAAATCGCCAACTTTGGATCTCCTATCCATGCTCCTGTGTCCGTTGGGAACAAATTACACGTACTTTCAATTTGGTTTTTGTTTAGGCAGGTCGTGGGGATTTGTCTCTCATAGCATGTCCTTATTAATATTACTATGCAAAATTTATTTAACCTTGAACATTATCATGGATAATGGATAATTTTTGTATCTCAAGCTCTGCAACTATATTAAATAAAAGCTTTATATTTATATTATCCGCTTTTCATTTTCAAGTGTTATATTCGTCATCCTCTGTTTTCATCACAATCTTCAACTAGTCCACTATACTATACGAACCTCCAACACCCCTGATTACCATCTTCACCCTTGCTTCTATGCTTTCTTTGACTATTTATCACGTTTCAATATTTTCCGCCTCTCTTTTCACAATTATTTTGAATTATTAGATTTCGGTATAGTTTCAGTATTTCTTTCATTAAGAAATTTATTTAGGACCCTTAATCTGTTGCTGTTATGCTACATTTTCGACAAGGTCTAAGAATATAGATTAAGGGTGGCCATTAAGGAATATCCCTTAGGAAATGATAATGGTTATCCGCTAACTTTCTGTTTGGGCTTGTCATCCTTCTAATGCTTATAAAACCACTTTATCCTTTGCTCAAGTCAATTTGATGTAATTTACTTTTATGCAAAGAAATATTTTTCAATTTGATTTGTGTTTTTAACGAAAAAATGTTCTTCAGAAGATGGTGTTTTAGCTTTGTGGTTGAAAAACCTCTACTACTGTCAGCTTGATGTTTTTGATCAGTCATCTGCAAATAATCGTTAGCGTCACCCTTTGGCTTAGAGCTCGGTGCTTCTGGGTACACTTAAAGGCATCATTTGTCAATTTCTGATGCTTTTAATCTTGCTTGCCTTGAGACCTTATGTCTATGAGTCCATGTTCGTTTGGCTCTTTGGTACTATGGTGACAATCAGTCTTCAACTAGTATACGAATTCTCCGATCAAATCGGAGAGCCTTAGCCGTGTCTCATAAGAAGATGATAAGCACATTTGAGGGCAATAATTGAAACTTTTAATTCATGGTGAATTTCAGTGATAAATCGTAATTCCAAAATAATCGAATTAAGATTAGACAACCTATTTGAATGCGCCTTTCGATAATAATTATTAGAAACTATAAAACATGAACCTACATGAACCGATAGTTCATATATATATATATATATATATATATATATGTGTGTGTGGGGGGGGGCGGGGTGATTCTCACGAAATAGGAGAGTTCANCGCCTAAATATATATATATATATATATTTAAAAAAATAATAAAGATAGTGATAAATTTTACGGAATTAACAGAATTAATATAATTTGATAATATAAATTCGTACTTTTCATAGTCCTTACCAGTCACGAAACATGGGTTTTGTGATTTTGAAGTTAAAGAATGACACAAAATGAGCCTCTGCATCCTTTGGGGAGAATGTTGTAAGGTGTGGAAGCTTCAGGACTAGAGCCCACGTGAGGTTTTCTTGCTTTTTCAGAACTCCCTCCAGTTTGGTTGCAGTTACTCTTGGTTGTATTATTGTTGTCGTCATTTTCTTCTATATTTGACTGCAATAAGAAATATTCATCCCATTGGAAACTACTTCCCAATTACTTTGAGAGCTTGGAGATAAGTAAAAGGGTAACTTACTTTAAATACTTTTTTTGGCCCCTTCCAGTCATTTACAAAAACCGGCCTAAGACCGGGAAGGTCGGAGGGGGCTCGTGGCCTTTCCTTGGGTTCTTCTTCCCTCTCCTCAGATACTCGGCATACTCCGTTCATTCTACGCAGATGTTCATACACTTCTGCCTTTTCTGAAATTATAAGTTATTGAACAATCTGATAAATTATTTAATTAATAAAAATTTTAATGTGAAGCAAATTTTTAACATTTAACATTTGGACATGTTTACATGCACTATGAAAAATGTATGCTCAAACTGTACGAAGCTTTCTTCGTTTTTTAAGGAAACCGTTTCATAATATATGTCTTCATACCGTTTCATAATTTACATAATGTACGTAAATTTCGCTAAATTGACGAAATTACTGCCGTCAATTTCTCGTGGAATCTAATTGCGTTAAAATTAAGGAAATATTTCGTTATTCTACATTTTTCAAAAAAAAAATCTTATTTATGTTTTTAATAATCACTTTATTGTGGTCACCATACAGATGAATTAATACCATGATACAGTCAGGCCGGCTTATTACGAGAGACTTTATTTTCGATCGTTTAGTCTTCATTCTAGTTTCGTCATTCTATTTATCAATCTCCCACAATGTACTGCGATAATGTTTCGAGTTGAGGAAACATTTCGCCAGATATCTGAGAGTGCACGTTTCGTCACAAACAACATGATTTTGAGACGAAATGATTCGCAAAATTAACGAAATACAGTTTAAGGATTGTAAAATCATCGAACGTTAAAAGTTTATTTCGGAAAATATGCGATTTTTTCTGCAACAATGTCTTATTAACATATAGAAGAAAATAAGTTTGTTAAAAAGTTTATCAGATTAGGCATGTTATATCCCAAGTTGAACTGTCAGAACTGTAATTAAAAATGGTAAACGTTTTCTCGAGAAATAAAACATTTTTTTACATTTAAAGTTAATCTTAAGCTATTGTATTAATTTTACATTTTCTTGTCATGTTTATGTGATACTTAAATACGTTTTCATAGGCAGCCGCTGTAGTATTCTGCCTATAAACAGCTATATCTCCCAGTATTTATCACATGAACTCAAATGAATAGCAAACAGTGTATAAGTTTGAAACATTCCATGATTAACTTACCTTTAAGGCCATTGAGGTAAACATTAATCTTTCCCATAGAGGATCGCGGTCGCAGAAGGTCATAAAAGCCTAAAGCCCTCTCATTTGTCCTCCAGCCATTCTTCAGCAGAGGTTCGTACTCATCAATATGGTCCACACTGCTCGAAAACAAAAACTAGTGTGATATTTCTGAAGAGTGTTTAAAAACTATACCAGTGTTAAACTCAAAACTTTTCAAAATAATTTCTGAAATAATAATGCCTAAGAACAAATAAAATCGTAGCAGTTTAAATTTAAAAATAAATTTTTTTAATATCAAATGATGAAAGTACTGATTTGGTAGATATTAATATCTATAATTAAAATTAAAAGTATTACTATTGTAGTCCTTCAATAAAATTTAAATGCTGTTAAGATTTAAAATGTTGTTTGTAATTTTTTATACTATGTTAAATCTTTTAAAGTAAAAGTTAAATACCTATTTTTAGACTGATTCATTAACCAAACAATATAAAAGTCATAGCCTAAATGTTCTTTATTTTTAAATGTCCAATATTAACATTAACTAATGTGGCAGGTCTACGTCATGTTTTCTTTGCAAAGGGTAAAATTACCTGACTGAATGCAATTTTGACGAAATCAAACTGGAACTAATATTCTATTCAAAGTAACGTTGGAAGAATATTAAATTAGTTTGTGTAGTCAAAAAGATTTAAAAAATTAATGTAACTTAAAAAATGTTTCCCTTTTAAAAACTTTGAAAATTTTAAATTAGTAGTTTTGAGTAATAAGTAAAAATCGGTTCTTAGAAAATTTCCTTATAAATTTTTGTAAGAGGATGGGAAATAAATATGAATATTTGCTGATACTTAAAATATGTAATAATATTTTCGAATAACTGAAGTAAAGGTAATCATGTATATGCAATTCTTTATTTCCTCAAATAAATGACTACTTTAACTATGATTTTAATAATGTCAATTAAATAGTAAAATTAATTTAAGCTATTGTAGTTTGAATTAAATTCACTATTATAACACTGCATTAACAAAAAAAACTTGCATCTTAGGTTGAGGTTTAACTATCCGAAAATTCAATCTATAGAGCAGACATTTTGTAATTAAAATTGGTAAATAAATGAATTTTTTAACAATGTATTAATACTTTTGACATGAAAATAATTTTGAAAAATGAGCAATCTAATTTTAATTATTTTTTTAACTTAATGATATCACAATCAGAAAACTTAAATTTGATATTTCTTATTTATTTAATTACAAATTTCATTTTTATGATTGTTGATGAAGTTTGTCATTAAGTATGGATCAATAAATTCATTTTTAATTGTTTAATGCTACGTTTGAATTATTTTGAAGAAATTTATAACCACAGTTTGTTTGGAATAAATTTTAACAGATGTCAATTGTACAGCATCTAATATCGTTATTTAGAGTCTGAGAAATCATCGGCTTTATAAAAAAATAAGATTGAAAAGAAAACACTAGAAAAAAATCTGAATATGTTAAATTTCAAAATTTAGTTTCCATATTCTAGTCATCAAACCTAAGTTTCCATGTGTATATGGACCGTAACTGTACCTCTGGGCTTTTCTTGGAAGGTACTCTCGCTGAATTCTGAATGAGACTTGCAAAAGAAGTACATTGACAAGTAAATAAATTTTTTTCCAAAAGAGCCGTTTGTGAAAAGATGTATTAACCCTCAAAAACAGCTGTAAGCTTGAGCTATTCCAAGTAACGTTTCTGCAGTGTTTACTGGATTTGAAAAATAATAGTATCTTACAAATATGTAATCTTACAAATATGCAATCTAAAAGTAATGATCGATATTTCAAACCCGAACAAAAGAAAAAGAATATTTTCCAAATGAGGTATTCTGTACCTTATTACATGACAACTTTTTCTTCCATAAACAGCAAAATAAATGAGCTGTTGGTTTATTTTGAATTTTTAGTGCTTAATACAGTTTATTTTATAAATTCAACGAGAAATTGATATACCATAAAGTATAAACGTGCTATTACTAATTCACATGACTTTAAAGCAAAAATGACGAAACACTATAAATATGATTGTTATTGTTCAAAATACTTCTAATAGTACGCGAATACTTCGTCTAATAGTACTTTTTTTAATTTCACTTTTGTATTCTGAGATATTTAAATAAATTACCATAATTTTTTTTATTTCTCCTTACAATGCTTTAATTGCAAAACTTGTGATTAAAAAAATTAAACGTTATTATAAAAAGTACTTAAGTAAAATCATAAAAAATAAAACTTTACCCTAAATAAAATTTTCTGAAACAATGAATGTCATTAAGAACTCAAAATAAAGACTGAATTGAATAAAGCACAATAAAGCCATTGGTTAGCATATTTTTCACATTGAATTCACTTTAATTTCCTACTTCGATTGTATAATATCTTAATTGGTATTTTAACATATATAAAGTTATGAAAAATCATCACTTTATCATCACATCACTGTACAATATCATCCCAAATCATTTTAATAATATTTTAGAATGTTTGATTCACTAAACAATTCCTTACGATTTGTATTTCACTCATCTAATTTCACATTTTAAAATTTTAAATATAAATATGAATACAAAGCAATAAATAATAAATTAATGGTATAATACTCAAAATCATAGAAAAACGACTTACGAAATAAATTGAAAAATATGTTTAATGTAGCATTAAAGTTTACAAATTCCTTTTATTGAGCTTGTCTAAAAACATTATAGTTTAAAATAAAAAATATAAACATAATTTTCCTAATTTTAAACTGGTGTACTTGAATCATACCTTCTTCTTGTGAAGTGGTTTCTGTTGAGAATGGCTGGAGGGGCACTTTTTAACATAGGTCGGGCTGGCATGATTGGTACATAGACTATGGCCGTTCTTGGACCGCAACACACTTGAAACTAAAATTTAAATAACACATGAAATTAAAATAGTTTTTTATAAAAATGATTTCATATGATCAACGTAATTTTTATCAAATCAATATCATCATTATCATAATTTTTAGTAGAATATCTATATAATTTTAATCATACTTTTATCACTGTACTCAGTAGTATAGTTATTAATTTGATTAGTTATTAATTATAGTTATTATTATAATTATAGTTATTAATGTGACTTTAATATTATCACAATTATTGTTTCTTTAATATAATCAGATTAATCACTATAATCTTTATGATTTTAACAATTATCAGTTAGATAATAATTTTACTATTAAATCGTATTCTGGGTTTGTACGCACCTGGAAAAAATTACTAACTGTTGTCAATTTTGTTATAACGAAGTTAAACATTTCCTAATATTAAATTCCACTATTGAAATAAAATTTAATTTCTGCCATCTTCAGATCTATATCTATATATAGATCCGAAGATTATTTAGATTATATAGAAAAAATAAAATTTTTGGTAGCTACAAGCATAATAACATAAAAAAATTATACTAATATTACTAAAACCTTTTAATTTTTTCTAGATGCGTATAAGCCTTGGTATATCACAATTTTCATCATTAAACAGATAAAATAATTTTTAATATTTAAAAATGGCGGTATTAAAATTCATTTTCAGCATTTTTACTATTATCCTTGCTTTATCATTATTTTATCACTATAAACACAAACTATTGCATTTTATCCAAAGTTCATCAACAGTTTGCAAAGTATTAAGCTTAAAACTTACACGTTATTGAGTGTGAGCCGCAATATGTTCGTGGTTAAGACACTGTAAAGTCACTCGGACTGGTGTGGTGACTTAAAAACTACCAAGCATTAGATCGATGGGTACAGCTTATTTGGAAAGTAAAAGTGACAATGCCCCATTATGTCGTATCTCTCAAAACTGAAGAGCATTAACTTCGTTGACCCCATTCACACACAGCGAGTTGCCCCTTCGCATGCAGCAAGCCTCACACACTTTAATTTACTCACACGTAATAAAAAATTTCCTTTTCTCATTTTCAGTTTTTTTTATCAAACTCAAAGGATTTGTTATAAGTTACTTCAATTGCTTAAAAGCAAATACTTTATTGAATCGAGACATTTAAGTGCTTTATAAGCTTAAGAAATGTTTATTTCTTCTTAAAGCATAATGTTATAAGGTGACTATTGACTGAATTATAAGTTACACCTACACATATGTCCATTGCTTAATGTTTTCAAAAAATTTTCCTAAATATTTAAGAATTTATGAAATAAGTCTTATGCGCACATTTTTATTACATATAAGTGACAATGATATGACACTGCTGTATGTTGAACAACGGATTAAAAGATTATTTTTGTGTATCATTTAGATAAAGTCTATGCATATTAATATGAGAAATAGTATCCTCCAAAATTTTTAGAATCAAACTCATTTTAAATACAATAAACAATATACAAATAAATTAAGCATTATATTAAAAGTCCTAGATCATAGTCCGTTTAGAAGAATACATCAAGTTGTTATTTCTAATACCACGTGCCAATACCAGCAAGCCTGCTTGGCGAAACCAAGCGAATTTTAGGCAGACAATTTTTTTCAGTAACGCCACCAATAGCCAAGAATACGACTTCAGCCACACAGAAGTCACAACCCCCCTTTAACAAGGCGATCTTCGGCCGGTGGGGATCGAACTCACGACCTCTTAGACATGCGTCCAACGCCCAACCAACCAGGCTATTCCGGTCGCATGCGTCATAAAATACAATGTATGAATCAAAACTATTCATCTGTATTTTATGTATGACGTCTGCTTCTAAGCGGACTATAATCCATTTTGTATTGTATACGTCATAATTGTATTGCATACGTCACGAAATACGATACATAGTATACATACATGCTTCCAAACTTATTATAGTCTGTTTCGAAGCATACGTCATACATAAAATACAGTTTCCATTTAGAAAACTATTCATCTGGTATATTCAGTAAAACAGATTTCTCAGAAAATATATATTTTATTGAAGATAATCTATTCCTTGCTCAACTATAAATTATTTTAGCCATATGTTGCGTCAAACTGACGTATCCTATAAAATATTAGATGAAATTTTAAGATAAACATTCCATCATCCTGACGCAAAGTATTACTGCAGTTTTTGATTTTGTTTCTGAGGTGGGGACTCTCGGTCTTTTAAAATATTTTTGTGTGTCAATTCAAATCAATATACTTTATTCAAATCAATATAATTTGTATAACAAATATCCTAAATCTGAAATAATAACATCTATAAATAATTATAATAATAAAATTTAATGTCAATTTAAATTTTATAAAGTATGCTCTAATTTGTCCTGGTTTATTCATGCTGGAAAAATATAAACCTTGGTTAGTAGAAGTATCTATTCAAACTATCAAAGAGTAATAACTTAAATAAATTTTTTTCTTAAATTTCTAGTGATAGAGCTTTAGGTTCCACATTCACTATTAAATCATGTAGTATTAAAATCAGAAATATATTTTTTTCTTACTTGAACTTGTTCTACACTACTCTCTCTCTGCCACCGACTCTGGAAAAATAAATTAATTTAAGTTAATCGAGTAATTACAATTATATGTTGTTTAAAAAAATAGTTAAGAATTATCATTTTATTCAAAAACCAAATATGTATAAAAGTCTTTTCCTGAATTTGCATTACTTAAATCATTTAAATAAGAGAGTTTTTTTCTTTTGTAAAAACGTGATGAATATTTTCTTCTCTAAATATTTACGTTTCTGATATAAGGATCCAAGCACTGAGAAAAAAATTTTGAAACTACCAAAATATGGTGAAATTCGCCTTGTTTTTTTCGCTGTGGGTATGCCAAAAAGCTAGGTAATTCTTACGGAAATGCTTTGATAAAGGTTTTAATAAAATTAGTTGTAAAGTATGATTTTATAATGTATAATAAAGTTTGGTAAATGAGGTAAAATTTGGAAATTTCATGATGATGCCTTATAGCAGAGCATAAAAACCATATATTCTGGTAAATTTGCTTCTCAGTTTTGTATTTTTTACTTAATGTATGATACTTAATGTATGGTAGCAAGAACTATAAACTCGAAAACCAGACTTTCTGATAAACGATTACCATATGAACGGAAAAATTAACAAACGAATAGTTTGAATAAGGTATATGTTGGATTTTAAAAACAGAAATTTTTTTTCATCAGAAATGTCATTATTCTACAGAGCAGTAATTTTATCAGTATGTTTTATTTACACGTGAGTTTCCAAATTGAAACTAAAAGATACCAGAAAATACATTTAAATACTGAAGGTTCATTGTTGTTTATTTTTAAGAATCATGCTATTTTACGGATAATTGAAACTCAATTGAGAAAAATATTGAAGCCTTTACTACACGCAAACATTACAAAAATTAAACAGGCAACTCACTATTAAAAAAGAATGCAACGACATTAGAAAAATGTAGAAAATTTTAAGGGAAGTTTCTGGTTCTTAAGACTCAGCTCTAAATAGAATAAACACGCATACATATCATATTAAATTCACGAAAAGGAAATTTATTTTTGAAATCAATGTAAGGTACAAATGTCACATCGAGAGAAAGCTAAACAACAATACAACATGCATTTCTTTGCTTTGGTGTCGAGATAAACTAAAAAATTTTACAGTGCTTTTTTTTATTTACATTTTCACTGTTTTAGTTTTTTTTTCATTTCCTTTTGCGTTTGTTTATCAATAAGACACAGTTTATACGTACAAGAATTAATTTAATTGCTTCATTGCGAAATACATTTCGTTTAAAAAAACAAGCACATTTTTAGTAATATATTCATTCCTATTTTTCAAAAAATTTTAACTTTTTCAATCTTATATAATTTTTTGCAAGATAACTGCAGTAGTTTGGTACTTACAAATTTTTTTGTAATACTCGGTACTCGGTGCAAAAAAATTATATATGATTGATATAATAAAAAATATTTAAAAGTCTTAGTGGGAATATATTGGAAAAAATTTCAATGTTTTTTTTAACAAGTATTTTGAGAATGAAACAATTAAATTGGTTCTAATATGTATTAAAATATGTTTTGTCAATAAGCAAACACAGAAAAAATGAATAGATAAATAAAAAACTACATTTGGGAAAAAGTAAATAAAAAAATTTGACTATATGTAAACAATTCATCTTTATTTCAACACTAAAAATGGTGGCAACTGCTTTACAAATTTTTTTCACTGCGTAAGTGTTTTAGAATTATTCGTAACATGAGTAGGAATCAAACTGTAAAAAGTTCCTAATCAAATTAAGGAAAGAAAAGTCTGATATGCAGTCATTTTTACAGTAATAATTACCGTAAAATCCCTGAATCATTCTAATTAAATTAATATTACTGCAAAAATTTCGGTAAAGATAGATTTTTCTTTAAAATAGATTGCACGGATGATGAATCCAAAGTGAGCATCATCCATTTATGTAGTGGTAATTAATCATCCTAATAAGGGTGTGAATATTTTTTTCAGAGAAAATTCCATCTTAATACTTATAATGTTAATGATTAGTTCAAAAGTTGATAATAAAAAAAGGAGAATTGATTTTACTTGAAACTCGTCTTCAATAAAATCATCCGGAGAGGGTGGAGAAGAGAAAAAAGAAGGCTCATAAAGCTCTGGCCAATCAGAAGATATATTACCGGGAGCAAAGACGTTCATCACACTCTGAGACGTTTGGCTTCCACTTATCAGAGTTCGGCCGAATGAACGTCCATAACCTTGGAAAAAAATAGATAAACTTAAAATAAATGAAATTATAGAATCTATTCCAAATTCAATAGATTTAAAGAATTTTAATTAAGTATATGTAGTTAAATCATAATTATTAAAATTTCATCGCATTTTGAAATTTCTATGTTTTTACAAATCGTTTGATTAAAATGTATAAACCAATTTAAAAAAATCACAAAATTAAATGGTCTTTACATATCAACATATCTAATAAAATTCTGAAATTAAAACAGTTGAAAACTTGAAATTTTAGAGAAAATTGCGTATGAGAGTTTGTTTAAGAGTACGCTAATATTTTAGAAATTACATCTTAAAACTCACAAACACAGACTTATCAACAGTCTGGCTTAGGGAGAGTTCTCACAACCATTTAATATTTGCTTTAAAATGCTTTTACCAAACAAGACATTCAACTAATTAAATAATTTTTATGAAAGATCTGATAAGCATGGTGTAATGTATATGTGTTCTGTACAAACCACACTGTTGGAAAAAATTATCTGCAGTAATAATTGGGTCAAATATTAGAATACCGTTTTCAAGTTTTTCAGATCTTTTTCTGCCCATAATTAACTTGGAGGCTTGCTAGTTCCACTTAATAAGTATTCCCAAAACACGGGCTTCATTTATATCAATTCGGCTTTATATTTATAAAAGAATAAAGAAGAAAACGGTAATGGACAATTCCATGAAAAAGGGGAAAATCATTGGAAAATTCAAATAAGAATAATGTAATTATTTTGGATGTTTTCTGAATTAGAAAGGTTTGAAGTTTGATAATATATAATAATTTTTTTGAAAATGTTTTGTAGTGTTGGTAACAAATTGAACATTGGCATTTGCTTGTTCTGATTTGGGTGAAGAACATGGTCAGATTTTGAAAATCAGTAAGTTAACATTATTTTCATTTCAAAATGTTCCAAAGAATAAATATTGTTTATTACTCTTAATATAAATATTGTGCAGTGTTAAAATAAGTTTTTGTTTTTAAAATCACTTAAGTATATAAATTTCAACTGAACCTTAATGCATGTAACATAAGTTACCAAAAACTAGGAAAAGTTTTTAAGTGTAAAAAAGAACAAGTGATACAAAAGTAAGAATAATATTTTTCTTACATAGAGGCTAACACTAAATATGCAACAATAGTTTTCTTTTCAAATATTACTTATTTATTGTTTTGTGCACTATTCAATATGTGTAACGTAAGTTACTGACATGCATGCAATACAAGTTACCAATGTGAAATGAGTCTATTTCTCTTGAAAATTGGCATATAAGCTAAATAAGGTGTATACAGTTACAATACCAAAGTTTAAATTAATTATCACTGCCTTAAGATATTAATTTTAATGAAAATCTTTGCATTAAGTTATTAATTTGGATGTTGGCATTCATATGTTTTTAAAATTGGACAAAATCTCTCTACAAGTACCAGGAGTTAAGGATGTAGTTATAATTAGAGATGCTAATGGCAGCAAAAAGAAAATACAAGCACGGCATCTTCTTCATTCAGTTCGAGAAATGCACCAAATGTTTATGGAAGAAAATCCAGAATGCAAAATTGGAAAAACTAAATTCTTTGATCTCCGTCCAAAGCATGTCTTGTTTAATAGCAAACTCCCAAGAAATGTTTATCTTTGTAAGTATCATGAAAAGTTCGGACTGACTAAAAAAACCTTCAGCAAAATTCATAATGGTCCATTTTTAAAAATTCCTTAGAAATTTATTTTATGTTTAGAAAACACAGATGAGTGCGAGTCTCAAGAACAGATGAGTGAAGTGTCTAGTCTATTCTCAAAAGCTTCACAGATTAAAAAAATTAATCAGATCCACAATTCAAGAGTACAAGAAGGCATACCAGAAGGGTTTTTTTAGTGAAAGATGTTGAAAAATAAAATGATGAATCCAAGATAAAAGCTGGCGGTTGATATATGGTTAGATACGAGGACATGTTATATCCTGGTGTGGTAATGTCTGTAGAAGAGCAAGAATTTAAAGTCAATGTGATGGCTGCTGTGGGAATCTATTGTAAATGGCCAGAAAAACGTGATGAAATATTCTACCAGAAAGAAAACATGGTGAAAAGAATTGAGCCCCCTGTACTAGTTAATAACAAAGGACTTTATAAGTTTGCAGTTATGTGGGAATCAAAAGTTTCTGAATTTACTTCCTGTACACTTTTTCTCCCTTGCACTATACTGTTTAAATATCTTAATTTACATTTGTACATTATTGGAATAAAAGTTTGATACAAAGTGAATTCCGTAACGTAAGTTACTGTAACGTAAGTTACCCTTTTAAAAAATTATATTTAATTTGACTTTTGAAATAAAATCTTAAATCTAGGCATAAGAAATATTTAAACATGTCATAAAAATGATACATATAATCCTAATAATGTAACATTTGTATAAGAACAGAATTTTGCCTTCAAGCATGACTACAAGTAGCTACATGAATCTCGAAGATACAATGTCAATGGTTTAACAATAAAAGTCAAGACACTTTTAATATTTATCGACAAAATAGAAATCTTTAAGAACTCAGTTTGCAGCTACCTGAATCTCGAGGATCCAATGGCTGAATATGCTCATAAGACGATGCGTGGTTAATATTGTTTGCTATTAGGACATTGTGTATGGAGTTACCCATATTTCCACCTCCACCACCACCACCCATAGATCTTTTAGTCAATGCAGGACTGTGACCTCGTGAGGATCCGGCTGGAGAGTAAGGACTGTGAGGTGAACCTCCTCTTCCAGGTCCACCACTTCCTGGAGTATCTGGAGGCTCGAGCCCACCTCTAGGCCCTCCGCTGGTTCCCATACCAGGACTCCGCCTCTGACGATTTAAAGTCTCCAGCATGTTAAGGTCACTATTATGAGAAATAATTACAGAGTTTTAATCGGAATTGTAGGTAAGTGAAGAACTTATTAAGTAAAATGGGTAAGAGAGATTGCATAAAAACAAATAAAAGCTATTTGTTACTGTGATAACTAAAATGAGAAATGATTATAAAGTTTAAATCGGTATTGTATTCAGATTGTAGATTTATAAGTGCATAAGCAGATTGCTTTTCATCAGAAATTTAAAGAAATGCATCGAAATATTACTGAGAGGCGAAACAGAAAAGTTATTTTTAATTCCTAAACATACTAAATTAATATATTTTTTAGGTCCTTAGCAGGATTCGTTTACTAATCTACAGATATAAAAGCAAACGAAAGGTGATAATTTCCAAAAATTCTAAATAATGTTCTTTAATTAACTGGAATTCTGAAAAAATAAAGAATTGAAAAGGAAAGACAAATTCTAATTACTTGTCTCAAACGTTTCTAAGCTTATTGTTTCGAATCAAAATTAGCATAAAGCTGAGTCGAGATAGTACTGCGAAAAAGAAAAGGAAAAGATTTTTTTTTTCCTGTTTCATATCTGTTTTCATAGACCAATACTGTTCCACTTTTTCTCAATACCACTGTTTTTTCAAATTAAGTTTAAATGACAAAGTTTTATGTACTTATTTTATATACCATTGCAAATTCTGCTACATACCAATTAGATTAAGCTGAATTGTTGCGATTATAATCTTCGCGGCACAGTTGGGGTCACAGACAAATATGAATTTATGAAGACAAGGCTACAGATTTATTCCATAAATTTTGATACCAGAATATGAGATAATTATAGAATTTAAATCTGAACAGCTGATAGGTTAAGAACTTATTTGGAAAAAATAAAAAACAAAAATAATATTTTAACTTTAGCATTTATTATACATATAACAAAAAATACTTTTGAATTGAATAATGTTCTGAAAGACTGTTTTATCATACAGCACCATTTTGACACTTCTTGATAAAACTGATTATTCAATTTATTACAACGGAATTAAAAATAGGACTTATTAAATGACTTAGCGAAACGGTATTGAATGACATTAAATCATACCTACCATCTAATTACGATTTCTACTTCATCAGCGGAAGACGCTATTATCCTTTGAACTTCTTCATACGTTCTTCCTGTAAGAGGTATTCCATTCCATTCTAGAACTTGATCCCCTGGAATATTTCACACGAAATTAAATCTTTAATCTGTCTTTAATCATTATTGTTAATTATTATATATTAATTATTTATGCACAACGATTTCTCTTTAAAAGTTTCATTAAAACTATATTCCCTAAAATATTTCATGCAAAGTTTATTATCATCATTATTATTTATTATTATGTTATACGTTAATCATTTATTCACAACATTTTCTCCTCAAAAGATTCATTGAAATTTTATCCTTCAGAAAGTTTCATACAAAATTAACTCTTTTAAGTATCTTTGACTGTTATTTATCATTTCTCCTCAATATTGTCGCCATAATTTATTAACAATTACCTATTTAAAACATTTATTCGTATTATTTATTTTGTTATTCTTCTTTGGTACAATAAATTGGTTTCTATAAACTATTTACGAATATATAATTCTCTCAAACATCCATGGCAAACAGCATGGCATTTTCAAGAAGTTACAATTGAAATACTTCATAAGCTTTTCATATACCAAAGCAATGCTGTGATCATGAAGTTGCTTATATGAAACACAGACAAGCTCATGACTTTTTCAAAACCTCAGAGAATGTCACGATTTTCTTAAGACTATGGTATACTTAAATAACCTCAGTTCATTCATCCAACGTATATTTTGGTAAGCGAACTTAGAATAGTGTATAAGTGCTTCCACAAGCACCTAACAATATCATATCCTAACAATATATACTTTAAAGACATAATTTTCCCCTGTATTTTCATGCAAATAAAAGGAAAAAGGTTATTCTTTTACAATTTCTCAAAACAAATTTTAAAATTACCTAAACGTCACTCTCTTGGCTAATCCAAAGCTTTTTCTTAAATTCAATTTATTTTAAACTTCACACCAGCATTTCAATAAGTATATTAATAAATCATGTATATATAACAGTGTAAAATTATATTTTCTATAACTGCTTAATCATTTAATTTGCCAGGGTGTGACATTTAAGAGCTTGTCCTAAGGTTTTCATGTCTCTCTCTCTTGGTGCAAGAAATGTTTATCTAATTTTAGAGGAACGAAGCGAATTTTTAGCTTCCATAGAGCTTTTCCTACTTATTCACAACATTCTGTTAGATTGTTAGATTGATAAAGTTGCAAGTTTGACTTTACAAGTTGAAGTTACAAGTTTGAAATACACCTGACGGTCTTATCATAACTTTAAAGTTCTAAACTTGTTATAGTTTCTACTTTTCTGCTTCTGTACAACATTTCTATAATATGTGAAAACATTTTTTAACAATAAAACATGATATTATGCATAATAATATTAGAAGTAAAAGAACTTTTTTAAGCCTAAATCTTTCTTAACTATGTGGAAGAAATAATTTAAGAAAATATCACTTTCTTCGCTCTTTCTAAGCCAACATACTGGTTTAATAGCTAACATTGTTAAGTGAATAAAGGCACTTAACAAGCTAAAAATATAGTAATAATTTTATTTTTTTTTCATATTAAGTGCCATGCAAAATTCGAGTTTTAAGTTTTCTCGTTTTTAAAGCACTTTCAGTTTTGAAGAATTTGATTTGAAAATTTCAAGTTTTTAAAGTACTACCTATAACAGCAACGTTGTTAATGTCGTTATCAATTTTCTAATAAATTAATTTCATTAAAAATGATTGATTTCTTTCTTTTATTTTAAAATTTCCATCCTTCTAATAAACATCATTATAATGAAGATTTGACACGTTTTGATGATGTTACCTATCACTGATGCTTACCTTCTTTGACTTCACCAAGAGTTTCTACAACACCCCCTGGAAATATCTTGGCAACATAAGCTCCTATCATACCATTTGAACCAGGCACTTCTTTACCTCCCACCACTTTCATACCTAGACCATTACCTGAAACAAAAACAAAATAAACCAAATTTTAAAAAACCAAAATAAACCAAAGAACCAATATCTTAAGAAAAATCAAAGTAATTCAAATTATTTCATAGAGACCGTTACCAGCTAATAAATGAATAAGTTGAAAATAATGTTAAATTATATCAATAATGCAAGGGGTGTTAATGAACTTTCAATCAGACAAAAGCAATGCGCAAACACAAAATATCGTAGCAAAATATAAATAAAAGTTTGAGATTTAAACCAGTTAAAAATATTTAAAATATGATTTGAATATTTAAAAATATTATATCTAAAATATTTTTCTCAATTTCCGAAGTGAAAAAAGCAAATTTTTGATAAAAAGTTACGTTTATTAACTACTTATATCAGAAAGTTTTTAATTTAAATTATACTTAATTACGTTTAATTCAAATCATTAATTTCTCAACAAAATAAAGTTATAAAACTATTTAAGCAAAATAAAAATTATATACAAGCTTTTTGAAAATAATAATTTTATATGTTTTATGAAAAATACTAAATGAATTATACCTCATAAATAGTTGTGCCTCGTTGTTAAAGTAGAGAAATTATTTATACAAGAAAATATTTTTGAGAAATTATGCTCAGAAAATCATAAAGGTTTGCAAAATGTAGATATTTGATTTTCGTGGAATATATTTCAGTATAGTTGATGCGTTAAATTGTTGTGCTAAATAAAATTAAAAATTGCATCGATTTCAAATGATTTGCATCAATGCTTGTTATTTTGCATAGGTTGAAATTTCGAAAAATTAAATCAATAGTTTATTTTTTTCGGATTTCGTGAATATGGTCATAATTTTATTTCAAACTGATTTAATTTGAACAAATTAATATAAATTAGTAATTTATAAATAAAATCAGGAATTAAGATTAAGGTTTAGGCATTAAATAATTCTGGTAATATAATTTGGCATACAAAAAGCATATTCTGAATTTAAATTTTGCATTGGCATTTAGTTTAAATTTTTCCCTTATGTATTGCGAAAACAAAGGTCAAAGCAAACATAGAACAGTGATATTTTTATACATCAAAATTGAAAATTGTATTTTCCGGAATTAAATAATTTAGATAATTTATTCTTCAAAATATTTGAAATACCACTTTTGGTCGAGAATTTCATGATAAGTATAATTTTTTATTCATCAAAATTTATTCAATAAAATAACTGACTTTGTAAATTTAATTTTCAAAAAGGAAAGTACAATAACTGCGTATAGATTAATGTTTCTCAGGATTTTTACTTCTGCCCCCCCCCAGACGAAATTTATGTTTTACTTTCCCAGGTTTTATCGACACAATTTATAATTATTTACAAATTATTTAAACATAAACATTGTTTTTGCTAGTGTGTAAGTAGTAATTATAATTAACAATGACGAGTAGTGAAATATCTTTCAACATATAGAATTTTTTCTTAACTTTAATATCACTTAAATAAACAACATTAATAATGGTTTCAATGAAACAAATCATGTTATTTCCTACATTAATTCCCTACATAAATATGGCAGCAATAGTTAGGTCAGGAGAGCTGTCCAAAGTTTAGACCCCTTAATGTTAATTTTACTTTTTGCATATTTCACCATACCCCGAGAACTTCTAAGTTAATTGAAAAATTTTTGCGCACAATTGTTAAATTCGTTTATCCAAAGGTAATGTCAGGCAAAATATAACTTTTAGTAAATATATATAATTTATTGTTATTATTATTTATTAAAATGGTTGATGAACTTTCAAATTGTATGGTATAACATTTTTTACATCATTTTAAAAATGAAATTTATTCGCAAAATATGTTAAGATGAGTTACATGATAAAAACGTATTACATGCTTTTACTTTTTAACATCTCGGTAATTGTGAGAAGGATTCTCACCAATTTATTATATAGAGGATTTGAAAACATTTTGATTGATTCTTGTCACTCTTTTCTTTTTGAATAATACTTTTGTATTTTTTGCTAGTTTATTTGAAGAAAATAACACATATTTTTAAGATGCTTATAGCATTCTTATGTATGAGCCTTACAGTTTGACAACCTTCATGTAGACTGTGCCAAGTCCAAATAACTATACATATAGTGCCAAGTCTAAATTAACTAGGTCATATTGAAACGCAAATCCTTGTGTGCATAATACTAATAAGTGGTCCTTTATAAATACATTTATAAATATTTTAGGAACATAATTACTTTCATGGAAACATGCATACATCATAACTACTAAATATTTCAAAACAATTGAGAGGTAAGATATACATATGACAAACAAAAGGGACATACAAACATTTACAAAACATCTGCAAAACATACTTCCGACATTTACAAAGTGATAACTGTAAACTATATTAAATTACACTAACTCAAAACATTTATAAATGCACCCGAAAAAATATATAATTGTTATAATATTTAAGCAATAAAATACCTTCGTTTTAAAACAGGTTTTTCTTTAAGTTATATACTATCTAAGGTATCAATATTATATTAAATTCCTTACTAAATTTATTGCTTACTGGGAAGGAGAAGACTCAGGAAAAAGTCCAAATACATTATCAAACAATTATTAACATAACATGTGTTATACGTTACATATTTACATATGTTGTACATAAAGCAGGGTTGCTGAAATCATTACTTTTACTTCTCTCTCTAATAAATGAAATTTTCTAGGCAAGCTACAAAACAAAGTGAATTAGATACAATGTTCAGAAAACTCAAAAATTCGGAAAGATCGAATTTTTACGCAATACAAGATTAAAGGTTTAGAAAACACGCATAACGATGCTGAATAATTATAGCTATTAAATCAGCCATAGAAAATATACATAATTTCATCCTGATAAATTCGAAATAAAGATATCGAAATGAGTCAATGCTTTATCGGAAAAATTTAATTCAAATTATTTTTCCTCAAGAGTCTGAGCCTTAGTTACTTTTGCATATTGATAACTTTGGAAAATATGAAAAAAAAGGTTTTTTGAACAGAATTATACGTTTTTCATACTTGTACATTTAACTAACTCCTTGAACTTAAACTTTTCCTATTCTGCTGATTAATGTATCAAGTTATGATTCATTTTTTAATGCAATGAGTGATTAAATAACCACTTATGGCTTTAACTCAAGAGCGATAGAAAAATTTTAATTGTCTGTAACTAAGATCCGTACTTCAAATTTTAAATGTCAAAATAGAAACTATATGAACATCTATCGTTTGTCTCCTGTCAGAATAGGAAGTAATAGTCTGAAATCAATCTGTATCTGATTCTGTTATTCAAAATTATCGTAGTAGGAAACAAGAATTTTTTTCAAATTGTTATAACTTGAGAAATACATTTATGCAGAAAATTTTCATTAAATTTTAAGAACTGATAAACTGATTTATTCAAATAAGAAACCCAACGATGTATTGTAGCAAAATTAATATCTAATATATCTATCTACATCATCATATCTAAGCTAATTCCGATTTATCTTTAGTTCATATTCCCCTAAACATAGCATTGTTATTTTAAATATATTCGGATTAAACTGTAAGACTAATGAGTTACGTTATAACTTTGTTCAGAGTGCAAAACATTTGACGCTGAAAAAAAATTTATATAAAAATAGGAAATTCCCTTTAAGTTATACGAATTGTAAAATAATAAATATACACATAGATTCTGTAGAAAAAATTCTAATATCATCACATACATCATCATAGTAAAGCTAATTCAAATTTATCCTAGACTTATTGCATTTTCTTTAAATATAGGAGGATAAACCAGCAGAACTAATGATACACTTTAGAACTTTTTCAGAGTGCAAAGAATTTGACATTAAAAAACATTATTATAAAATAGAAAAAATCACCATTAAGTCATAAGAACTGTGAAATAATAAATAAGCACATAGATACTGTAGGTAAAAAATTCTAATATCTTCCCATACATCATCCTAGTTAAGCTACTTCAAATTCATCCTAGACGTAATTCCTTTCTTTTAAATATAGGAAGAAAAACAAGCAAAATTAATGACAAAAGTTAGTACTTCCTCAGAGTGCAAGAAATTTGACATTAAAAAACATTATTATAAAAATAGGAAATCACTTTTAACTTGTAAGAAGTGAGAAATAATAAATAAGCACATAGATACTTGCAGAAAAAAATTCTCATATCTTCATATATATCATCATAGTAAAGCTAATTCAAATTCATCCTAGACGTAATGCTTTTTTTAAAAAATATAGGAAGATAAACCAGAGAACTAATGATATACGTTAGAACTTTTTCAGAGTGCAAGATATTTGACAATAAAAACATTTTTATAAAAATAGAAAAATCCTCATTAAGTTATAAGAACTGCTAAACTAATAAAAATATGCATGGATACTGCACCATAATAAAATTCTAATATCTTTATATGCGTCATCATAGTTAAGCTAATTCAGATTGATCTTAGACGTAATGTTGTTTTTTTTTATATGTCGGAAGATAAACTAGCAAAAATAATTAGGCACATTATAACTTTTTACAGGATGCAAGAAATTTCACATTAAAAAAATAATATGAAAGAAAATAATAGAAAAAGGAAAGAAAGCAATGCTTACCGCTGACGGAGCGATCCTTGGGGTCTCGCGTCAAGAGAATCCTTTTGACTGGAAAATCATACTTCTGACTCGTTTTAGATACAGGAGTACGCTACAAAATTCATTAAAATATTAAATTCATTTTTAGAGCCAAATTTATCATAGTTATTGTCATTACAATGGTTAAATCATAAATATGAATGTAAAGAACAGATACTTTTAGAAAAATCGGAACGTTCGAATCACAACGTCAAAGGAATTTTCTACAAACTTGCATATGAAGTTACGTCACTTAATTGAACAATTTTTCAGTTAAAATATGCATAGTATCGTGTAATCAAATTCAAGAAGGATTAATTTTCAGGATAATATCCATGGCAAAAAATTTATGCTCTTCGAAACTACAGAAATTTACTGTTGAATTGCATCGTAATCTTTGAAAAGAGACGTTTTCCTGAAAAAATCTATAACCATTGATACAGAATTCACCTGTCTGGTACATATTTTTGGTATGAATATAAATTACTTTGGTATCACAACAGAATAAATAGTTTGATACATTAAAGCAGATGGCGACCGGTGTGTATGGTGGTGAAAGAGTTTTGGCCCCATACCAGGATGGTCCCCAGCTTGAATACTGCTTTGGAACGTCTGAACTTAACAATTAGAAAAATAAAAATTCTGCAACGAATCTTTCAAACGTGATAGTTTTCGAATTCTGAAAAATCTCGCAAAATGTAGAATAACAAAAAGAATCTATTCAAAATGTTAGAAATCTTTTTCGCTCTGCAAACCATATTGTATACAGCTACTTTGCCAAACTGCTTTGCAGTACCCTGACCTAAGGAAAATAGTTGGTGAGTACTGATATTTCCTATAATGTTTCGTTGCAGGGAATTTCAGTCAACGTGTTTTTTTTCAGCATACGGTAAGTCTCTGGCAACTTTGCGGCCACTGCCAGAAATTTTCCTTAAAATAACAGATTTCTTTTATATAGTGTAATTCATTTTATTAATAACATAGTTCTGCACACTTCAAGATATCGAGCAATGTTTCTTTCTCTAAATCCTGTGTTTTATAAGTAACAAATGCATAATTTATGTAATGTTTCTTTTAAAAATTTCTTTAAGAGAATTGGAAAAGCAAAGCGATAAAGCTGTTAAATATTATTCCGAAAATGAATTTTTATGAAAACACATGAAATTTAGCAAATGAAATAGGAATCATAATTTAATAATAATAATCAGAATACTAATACCATACGTGCATAAAGGATTTTCCTTATTATACTAGCTCAGCGTAAACCCTTCATTGACTCTGTCAAATATTTGGCAACTCGTTAAAATTAAAAATACCACTGCAATTAGTCCGAAACAACTTTTAAAACTTTTTCAAAAAAATTTTTTCATTAATTCAGTTTTATTCCAAAATAATTCTAATTAAAGGCATTTAAATTATTTTTAGAAGGATTAAAAATAACACGAATTATTTCATATATCCTCATACATTTTAACCACATAATTTGTTCAATATTTCTACAGAAAGGCAATATTACATAAATTTTTTATTCTATGTTCATACGTAGAAACCAAATAAAATTATTTTTTAAGTACAGATTATTTTAAAAAATAGTTTTTTTTAAAAAAAATTAAATACACATATAATTTTATCAATTATTGAATTGTATTGAATTATACTTCAATAAAACTATTCAATAATTATAATATTATATTATCAATAAATATATTATTATATTATCAATTATTGAAATATACTGAATTTTATTAATTTTTCAAAAATTAAATACAATTATGATGCAAAACTCATTCTTCGTCACTAACTAATGTTTTGTATACAAATAACTAATGAAACACGTTTAGTTTAGCTATTTAAATGTTATTGCTATAGAGATACCATGACGCTGATAGTTATAGTTATTGAACAGCAATGCATAAATATGCTCTTTTTGCATAAAAAATATGGAAGGAGAAGATATGGAATATTTCGCATTTCTTTTAACATAAATTCTTGACCCTTGAGTTCTCAAGAAAAATGATCAAATTCTCCACCATTACGGTCTTTTAATGAAAAATTAAAAATTACCCAGTTCTATGTTTGCACAAAAAAAACTTTGCTTTAGCTAAAGAAATAAACAATATTTTTCAGATATAAGTTTACTTTTTTGTAAACCATTCTGTATCCTATGTTATATGTAAATTAAGGTTAAAAAACAGCTACATATCCTTTTTGAACGCATACGTTCTTTAAAATATTTGATTTTTAAATCGTCTTAGCCTGCATTATTTTACATTGATGTCAGAAATTTATGTCTCTGCTTTTATTCAGACATACAAAAATAGTAATTAAAAAAATTTCAATTAACTTACACCAACTTTTCTTTGAGACCTAAGCAATGTGTTTGATTCTTGTATTCTCTGACCCATGGAATCGTCTTCATTAGCATCATCTTGGTCTTGATACAAAGATTGTGCTTAGGAAAAAAATACATTCACTCTTAAAATTCAGCATTACCAAAAACTAAATACAATATGAATAAACAATTAAAAGTCTAATTAAATAATGAATCAATAGAGTTTTTTATGTTTATTCTTCAAATTATGCATTTACATGCAATGATTAATAAAATGGAGAAATATGAAGAAATAAACTAAAAGGGGAAAGGCTTTCCTTGCATAACCAAATTCACGAATCTTTCGTAAGGTATTAAAGCAGGAGAACATTTTTAATTAAACTTTTTTTCTTGTAAAATTTATTGTTTGATCATAAACTGGTTTTTATTTCTCATCCAGCAATGATTGTTAGACATTTTAGTAATAAAATTTTTATGAGCTATGAACACATATCATCATTGGTCACATCATTAGAACACATATCATCATTACCATTTAAAACATGTAAAATTAGGATCCATGTAGACATCCTTTAAAATACATAACCTGTGGAATTGCCGCAGTCCTTATAAAACAAAAAAACGCCTCAATATTTATTTTCAAGTACAAGGATTTCAATATATTTTGGTACAAACTACCAACTTAAATATTTTGAGGAATACTCAAATAATATACAAATTAAATAGTGGTAAACTTTAAATAAACTTAATATTTAAAAATAATATGTTATTTTAATGCTAACTCTTAGATAGTCGTCATCAAAAAATTGTGGAATTGTTTTAAATGGATGAAATGTTTTTAACAAATGAGATGCCAAGAGCAGATTTGTTTGCATGCCCTTTAATTAAGAAATGTAAAAAAAAAGGGAAAATTAATATACATTTAGAAAAAAAGTGTTTACCAGATCCACTTCTACTGGGTTGAATAGGTGAGCTACCTAAATTTTCTAAAAGCTTCCTAGATCTGGTGGGCATGTCAGGTAAAAGTGGCATGGCGGGAGTCATTTCGTTTTCGGGAGAAAAATGACCGGGAGTTGCGGACAGCAAAATATCGGGAGGCTCGTCTGTAGGAAACGTAGATGCTATCCTCATAATGCTTTCATCCATCGCAGTCTCTGGATCTGCTGATGATTCTTGAAAATACTGTTGATGCTGCTGTTGTTGCTGTTGAAGCTGTTCTTCTTCGCCCCACGCACCACCAACTCGAGCATCAACTGGTACACCATATCTAAAGATTTAAAATGATTTTAGATGATCCATCGTGGCAGTAAAAATAATCGACACTTCAATGGACAGTTATTTAAATGTAGAATGTCACAGCACTAGAACTGGAATTGGTAGTATTGTTCCCTGCTTTAAAAATATCGTGTATTCAAGGTAACGAAACACAATGGTGGTAGTAACTGAATTTGAAGAGACAAAATTGAAAACATTAAAAATCATTGGGGTAATGAAGCATTTTTTTTTCTGTCGGATCATTGGGGTAATAAAGCATTTGCTTTTCTGTCGGATCATTGGGGTAATAAAGCATTTGTTTTTCTGTCGGATCCTTGAGGTAATAAAGCATTTGTTTTTCTGTCGGATCATTGGGATAATAAAGCATTTGTTTTTCTGCATTGTAAAATATTCTATCCAATATTAGTCAATTTTTTGTTTGCAGCAATTTGTGCAAGTTATTAAATTTAAAAGAAATATTAAAAAAAACACTATTTGAAAAGTGATACAACTTTTTTTTTTGTTTATTTTAAGATGTATAACTCTTAAGTCTACTGAATGAGTTGTTTTGCATATCATAACTAATTTGCAATTTTCACCATTTTAACAGCAAAGCTTAACTAAAAGATATGTTTTTTAACCTAGTTTTTAAATAAGTGGATTAGATTTCATACATTCTGTGATATCAAAAGTTTAATTTAAATAGAAATTGAAGTTTAACAATTTGACTAAAATAATAGAAATGCATTTGCATACCTGTTCCTGGGCATAGTAACATATCCTGACTGGTAATAGTCCGTTGGTCTAGCATCAGCAGGATTGTAACTTGGTGACCAACCTGTTCTCGACAAAGGTCGGTCATACAGGTCTTTCCTCAAGATTTCGTCTATAGCTTTCAGAACACTGCTAGTATCATCAGTATCCGACATGCGCGAAGAAGGCCTCACAGGTTGCATAGGCTGCTGTTCTATAGAAGAGTAAGCTATCGACCCTGTAGGTGATGGTACGTAGGCAACTGGAGTTGTACGACCTGCTTGAACTAAAATTTTTAAACAAATAAATGTGTGATATTATATATATAATAGACCAACATATAATTCGAACAAATTTATTAACTGATTATATCTTATTATCTAGCAAGAGATCAGTTCACAAAGAGCATTTTGGGGTGGTGGGTATGATCAATTAGCAGAGAAGACGGCTCTATTTCCGAATTATAATTTTCGTTCAGTTAATAATTGGCGATCGAAATGAGCTACATGTGGCGTAGAACAGAACTTTCCACCTATGGCAACACTTTGCAAGGTTTCACCATTAGCGTGTGAAGAGTCATAGGAGAACGAAGTGCGGCAGTTTCTTGATTTTCAAATAGATTAAAATATTTTAAGGTAGGAAACTAAATGGAACATAAAATTACCTTAAACGTAGTTCTAAAAGAAAGCGTAATGGAAATTTTAAAAGATATTTTTAACAATTAAGTACGAAAAATATCGTAGTACATTCCTATACAACTGAAAAGAGGAGGAGAGGGAAAGGGGAAGAACCAACGGTAGGAAGCCAGTCTCCTTCCCAGATGGCGTATCCGAGCGTTACGATCTCCTACATTAATGAAGTTCACGGTAAGAAATTCCTGATTAAATTACGGCGACAAGTACCTGTAACTCAGGGTATTGATAAATTTTAACGTAAAATTCATTTTTGCCGAAACATGCTACGGAACAAAAAATCTGATATACCGTAACTTTTACAGTAATAATTACCGTGAAATCACTGAATCACTCAAATTAAATAAATATTAGTATGCAAATTACGGCAAAAAGGGATTTTACTGTAAAATTCATTTTGCGGATAATGCTCTCAAAATGCCGGTACTTTATACCGAAATTTTTTGCAGAGTAAAAATTGAAATTATTACTGTACACTTATTTAAAATAATTTATTTCTACATTATTTTTTTAAAGAAAATTAGTGAAACTTGCTAGCATCGCATTTGACATTCACGAATAATATTTTGCTATAATATGCTAAATTTAAAAAATGTGCCTTTAACAGTAAAATATCGCTTTTTTATTATAGGCTCTAACATTAACAACACATATTTTTCCTCTGTTTCAATTTACTAGCTTTCTGCCATAAGAAAAGAAATGTTGAATATTTTATATGAGATTCCTATTTTTTTCTAAACATGTTATTTTTTAAGTACTTTAATCTGTAATGCCACTACATAAGTAAGTACAAACAAAACACAAAACTGGGCTTTAAAAATAAGCCGTAGTTTGTTAGGGAACGCAAGAGGGCAATAACTTGTTTAGTTTTTCTAGCAAAATAGATGATTCTTAACGTGATTGTTATAACAGGGCAGTTATGAAAAAGCCGGTTTATGTAGGAGTTGATAATTTAAAAGAAGTCATGGTGTTGAGAATTTCCTCAAGTTAGATACAATATTTGTCGAATATTTATTATAACTTTTATATGAATACTAGCGGACCCGACAGACGATGTCCTGTACACACGTCATTAATTGGAAAATTTCAAATTTTTTTGAATAAGCTGTAACAATCTGGATCGTTTTGATGCAAATTTTTATTAAAAAGTTATCATATTAACGTCATTTTATATATCTTATCACAATTCGACCAATCGATAGCGTGTGAGTATGTGTATACTATCAGTGAAGTTAAATGTAGAAATTGTTTTAAATCAAAACTTAAACTTATTTTAATTAAAGGTTAAAAAAAAGAAAACTTAAACTATTTTATAACAGATATATTTTTTCAATTAAAAAAAACTTAAGTTATCGTAATGCCATTAGATGTACAATATTTTTGGTTAATCCTTCAGGAGCATACACAAACAAATTCGAGGGTTTTCCAACTCTGGAACACGCAACATATAATTGACCGTGAGAAAAGCACGGGTTTTCTAAATCTAAGCCACAAATTGTCATTGTTTGACCTTGTGACTTATTAATAGTCATAGCAAAAGCTAAGCGGATTGGAAATTGCAAACGTTTGAATGGTATAGGCGAATCTGAAGGAATCATTGGGATCCGCGGTAGAAGTACAACTTCACCTTGAAATTTTCCACTTAAAATAGTGGCTTCCAAAATGTTACCCATGATTTTTTTT